GAATCACGGTTAACTAGATAACTTTCAGAAATTGTTGAAATACGTTTTTCATTACTTTTTCATAATTTGTTTTGTGCTAGAGATAGTGAGTGTGGGAGCAAAGTGTCCCCTTGTACGTTATAGACACTAAGTTATTATAACTTTTTATCATCACTCTCACATGTCAAATTTTGTCCGTGCCCTGACTTGTCTGCAGGACCTTGCAATTACTGCCCTGTTGGTAGGTGCGATCCATTAGAATTTTGAGGGGGTGGGGGGTGGGGGGGTGGAAGAGTGAAAGATTTAGGGAAAACAATTCCTGAACGGACCGAGGGCCCGAAAAAAAAATCTTGCAAGACAAAATTTTGAAAAATCTCCACTAAAGCTTTTATTTTTTTAAATTTACATCGGTGTTGACTGTCCTTCTGAGGGACAAAACTGAATCACGGCTCACGCTATAAAAAAATATTCACGCCTCACGGCTAATTTTTTCGCATTTTCACGACTCACTGCTAATTTTTCAGCCGTTTCACGGCTCACGGTTAAACTCATTAAGACCCTCATCTGAATGCGCGCACCCTAATTCAAAACAAGTCACACCCAAACACACAAAACAAGTCACACCCAAACACACAAAACAAGTCACACCCAAACACACAAAACAAGTCACACCCAAACACACAAAACAAGTCACACCCAAACAAAACCAAAAGAAGACAACACTATTTATTGATCAAAATGACATTACAACATTCTCAATATAATGTGTCTATCGTATATGAATTGTAGTTCCAACTAAATCAAGTTACTTCACTAAAACGAAAAGGAAAGCAGCATATTTATGGTTACAGCTGCAATAAACCAGTTTCACAGCAGTTTGAAGGAAAGTAAAAGAGAAACTTTAAATGTAACAAATGTTCCCTTGCCGGGAGTGAAAGAATATGTCAATACAATGTTAACAAAAACATCGATGTCAAGAAATCTCCCTACAGTACCCGACACAGTACTGGTTCATGAAACAAAAGAATCGTGTAAAGAGAGTTTCATGGCTTGCTAAAAAAACGATCTCGATATTGTATGAAGCTTCTCCTTCTGTTCGCGTTGGGAGATGACGGATTTTCTTCTGTCGTTGTATTATCTGCAGGTTTGCTCTCAATTTGTTGTGTAGTTATATTTTCTTCAGGTTTGCTCTCTGCGATATCGTTCTTGGCGTTTTTGTCTGAATGATATGAATCACAGCATTCTACAATTTTTACCATCACTACCCCACTGGGGTTGACTTTTGTAATAAACGAGCGTTCATATGTACCCAGGTCTCGTTTCTCAAATAAATCTCTAACATGAGCGCGTATGCTTCGCACACCAATCTGAAACAATAATAGCGATGAAGTGAGCGATAGAGAAAGGGAGTAGGATGAAAGGAAAAGAAAGAAAGGGAAAAATCGTACCCTCCAGAATGGAGCTTCAATATACACAGGCATATCTTCYCGTTTGCTAAGCAACACCACAGCAACACCACCGTCGCTAAGGTAACGGCGCCAAACCTCAATATTCGCCTTTTTGTTCTGAAAAACRCGCCTTCCTTGTCTTCCCAGTGAGTCTTGATTTACGGCAATTACTTCCCTAATACATACAAGAATACTTTTAGTACAGAAGAGGCCAATGCACCATGTAGACATAAATCTGTCTGGSGCGTGTACTTTCCGCATTTGACATTTCGCGCGCAAATTCACGTTTAGGCAATAAACATGCCGCTTGTCACTCACGTATTAAGCAAAATTTCTTTGAATTTCTTGTCGAGTTTTCTCAAGTCATTGGACATCATAAGAGGCTGTATGAAAAAACAATGGAGAATATGTTTCGAACAAAAAGACGTTTCTAGAAAAATTGACTAAAAGTGCAAYGATAGTTCTAATAACACAGCATCCGCCATCTCGACATGAAGTCAATGGTGGAAAGAGCCTTTATACATACCGCTGCTAAGATCGCCCAAATAGCAAACTGTGCACGAGCTTGCTCGAAACTCAGCCCAAAATTACCGATAATGAGCTGCAAGTGGAAAAAAATTATTATTTTAATGAAGGAATGGGAAAAGATGACTGACAATGAAAGAAAAACTAGGAATAAATAAGTTCCTCCAAAGAGGAAGAATAAAAAGTACCGAGGAGGGGAGGGGGAAGAAGAACTAATATTACTTACTTGGTCAGGGTCGTTCCACTGACCAGGTTTTGAATGCTGGATCAGGGTATTCTGGTTATCGCCAAACCAATCGATGATGTTGACCAGACTTGACCAGGAATCCTACATGAGAAAATAGGATGCACATCAAAGAGCACCACGAATACAACCTAATTATCAGACCAACTAACAAAGAGCAGAAATTACAGGAATAACGTACCTGGATATCTCCATAATTACGCCATATATTGCAGTATTTTCCAATAATTTCGTAATCAGGCTGAAAAACAAAAAACAAAAACAAAACGATTTTATGGTTTGATGAATTTTGAATAAATAAATGGATAAAAAATTAAATAAATGAATGACCAAAGGAAGATTATTTTAAAATGAAAATACGTAACGAGGAGGAGGGGATGTTACCTTCATTTTAGCRTACACTTGGTAAGCCGGCCAACTACACGAGAACAGAATAGGTCGCCCTGTCCTGTTGAGAGCCCAGGAGAATGTAGGATAACCCTCGTCCATRGCCAATGGAGTAGCATAGCAGCCATCCAGTTTAAGGTAATCAACTCCCCATTCAGCAAACGTCTAAATAATCGACAATGAAAGTCTTTAACTGCTGTCAGTCGTATCACATGTACGCTCATACAGTAATACACACAGTATACACATATATTTGTTATATGCGGTTGTTGGTGTTTTGAATCAGTTTTCCCAAGAACTCAGTTTCCCTCACGCCAATTCATTTCTCTCGACACAAGCAGCTGCTGAAATTCCTTTCTCATAGTCTTTTGATCAATTACTCCGAGCGATCACAAGCTTAGCCAATCAAAACGAACGTTAGACTGATCRTTGTCTTTGATCTAAAAGGGTGGCGAACGCAAGCGGGCGAAAATCTGTGCGCAACTACAACTGACTGAGAGACAATCAGGAACTGATGGTACTTTTGTTGTATGTTGTGTTGTATGTCAATGTGAAAGTGGTTTGTGTGATAGGGTAGTGTCTCTCAATTGGTGCGGAATATTTAACAGGAGGTACTTACTATGGCATCCCTCCAAACATGCCTTATACTTCCTGGATATCCYTCGCATGTCTTTGTACCATAGTCTACAACATATAGAGACATTAATACGACGGGACGGGACACAAAAAGTATTTATAACCTAGAAACCAGGTATAAGAATTTGCCATCTATAAGTACATACCAGCGTATAGACCAAATTTGAGCCCCTTTGAATGTATCTGAAACACGTAAATGACAAAGTATATGACAATGAACGAGCTACGAAGATTCTACGACGGTCTTCCGATCGATAACAGACGTCCTGACGAACCGAACATGTACACGACTTRTTTTACGCCCAGTTATGACTGTAATAAGTACGAACAAAGTCCACCGACAAATTACCGACACAACTTACGTAATCTGCTAACTTTCTCATACCACTCGGGAACCGCGTCATGTTWGCAACAAGTCGTTCATGYCGATTTCTTCTCATCTCTGACCAACAATCCTGTCACAAAAAAGCAAAGATTAGTTTAGAAATGTACGTTTATGTCTATTTTGAGTTCCTTTTGTTTTGATGTTGGCATTTTTACATRTTAAGCCATGTTTTTTTGCTTGTTTGTTGTTGCTGCTGTTGATGTTGCTCTTATTGCTGCTGTTGTTGTTGTTGTTGTTGTTGCTGCTGCTATTGTTGCTGTTAATGCTGCTCACAATATTTTTGTCGTTGCTGTTTTTGTTGCTCTGGCTGCCATTATCTATAAAAGTGAATAAGTTGTGCTTACATCAATACAGACATATTCGTAGCCTGCTTCTTTAAAACCATCAGACTCGATGTGGTCAGTCATTTCTTTGATCAGCTTTTCACTAAAAAAGAACATCAAAATTTATCACGGCTGTATCACAAACTTTAAGATAATTTTTCTGAATTTTGCACGTAATTACCTGATGCAGTTTTCTGGGTCATTCTTGCAATCAACATTACAGCGAAATCTTTCCCATGCCATCCAACCCACTGAAAAAAAAATGAACAAGAAATTGAATTTAACGATGTTGAAAACATCTTAACCAATAATTCCTGGGGATTGTCAACAAAGGAGGAACGTGACCCATTAGTTCTTATTTTCGAGTTCGAATCGAAATGTGAGTCTAATTCATGTATAACTGTTCGAGATCTACAAAGGGGGGGAGGTGGCGAGGTAAACTGGCACCTCTTCTTGCAATGTTAACGGCCCGGGTTCGACTCCTATCACATGACAACACTGCATTTATTATCAATTTCAACGATTTTAGATTCCTTGTTAATGGACATTTGATTGCCACTTTGCTAAGGTTTTTAACCAAGTGTTTTAATGGGGTAAGGTCACTTAACTCGACCCCTGTACAGAGCTATTTCTCTAAAATGAACTCACTGATTAATTATTTGTGGCAAGGTAAGTTAATTGACATGCCAGTTTAATCAGCTATGAAATCACCACATTCCATACTAAATGCACGGTGAAATACGCCAACAAAGTTTTTAGTGCAACGACTAATGTAGTAGAGGAAATCACAAACATACATAGCATGATTTGCAAAATCTTAACTAAAAAAAAAATGAAAAAATAGCTCGGTCTGTTAGGTTTTGAAAAAGTACTTGAAATTCAGTTATATAGTGCCCCCTTTGACACCCACCAACTTGACGCAGGAGAAAACTCTGGAAATTCTATATTATTTAGAGAGGTTTCATGGTAAAGTCTGTGCCGTTTCAAGGTCGAAACGTTTTTTTTTAAATAAAGGTCAGTACCATTATTCCTAGCGTGTTTAAATAAAAACCTTTAAATTCCTTTTAAGACTGTACTTACTTGGTGGAGTAAGGGCCAGCCCATTGTTAAGAGCACAGACACTGACAATATGGCTGACTATTAGACCAAGAACTAAGAAGTTATTCACGACTACCATTGTTCAAAGTGCTCTTTGTAACGACTGAATAAAGAACCAGAGATTTTGTAGAGTAAAGTAGTTGAACAGGTAGAAACGTGCTTTTAGTATCAACAAAGTGTACACCCGTCCACGTTGCTTGGCAACACGTTGCATGGTTACAGGTTGTTTTTATAGAGGTCTTTTTTTCATTTTTGCTTGCTTTCTTCTTCTTCATTTCTTTTCACTACGAATGAAAACAAAGGGTGGACACTAACTAAAACATTGTAACTCTACAGACAATTCGAATAGTTTCTTGGTATAAAAGGGAAGTCATTAAAGTTAAAGCAACATTTTCAATTTCACAAGGGAGTGCATTAAGCTACAGTCAACTCTCTCGTAAGCGACCACCTCGGGATCAGGAAAAAGTGGTCGCTTACGAGAGATGGTCGCTTACGAGAGATGGTCGCTTACGAGAGATGGTCACTTACGAGAGATGGTCGCTTACGAGAGATGGTCGCTTACGAGAGATGGTCGCTTACGAGAGTTTTTTTAGAGTTTATATGGGAAACAATTATAACGGGAAATTTAAAAGGTGGTCGCATACGGAATATGGTCGCTTACGAGAGTGGTCGTTTAAAGAGAGTCAACTGTAGTAAAATTTCACTAAACCGTCCTACTTACCCTAGAGTCCGGTAGTGGAATGCAGAAGCTCGAAATGTAATTTGTGAAAATTAGTGATTTCATGATTTCTTAAGTTAATATTCTTATATTCTACAGAAATTTAGCACAGAAAAATTGTCGTGGAGAACTGCAGACGGTTGTTTTTCCGGTAAATGGGAAGATTGATTTCGACCGCCCGCAATGTACATTTTCTTCATTTTGAAAGGTTTGTTAATTAATACTACATTGTATGACCATGCGAAATGAATGCTGATAATACAATAAACCTTGCTGAAAAAAAATCAAATGCCATGTTTAATCATTTGTACCATATGATGTTACAAAGGTTTATGGTGATAAATGAGCAGTTTGGAAACGTTTTATCCCTAAAATAGTGAAGTCAAAACAGCGGTGAAATAGGTCTAATACGATTCGTGATTGGTACAAAAATTCAATGTGTTCGCATATACAGTGTACTTTGAAAAGTCTTTTCATGGGTTTAGTTCGTCCTCTCATTACTATAAAATTGACACTTAACTAAACTTAATAACAAAATAGAAAATAATAGATACTTGACTTTTAGCCAAAGTCTATATGGAAATTATTATATTATATTATGGGTAATCATCGAAAAATAATCCATACGTTGTATTATGCAATAAGTATTTTCATGCTCTGTTCAAATTCAATTTCTATTCATCTCATCAGCCTAGAAACATTTGTTATTCCTTCACAGGTGTTAGTCTGACCATCACTACCCCACTGGGGTTAACTTTTGCACTGAAAGATTTCTCAAAAACTCCAAGGTCTTCATGAAGAAACAGGTCGCGAACAAGAGCTTCAGATGATGGAAACCCAACCTAAAACACATTGAAAACTGTTATTTAGGTTATGTATAAAAGTGCTTGTATAGTGACCTCTTAATACCTGTTCAAATGTTGCTTCAATAGACACAGGAAGATCAGTACGTCGGCTAAATAACACAACAGCAACAGATCTATCTGACAATGGTCTGCACCAAACCTGAACACTATTGGCCTGTGCATAGATATGGATACTATTAACACTTATTAGATCATTAACATATAACAA